TGCCCACACCGTGTACGCCCCTCTTGTCCTTGGTGCCAGCACGGGCGCCACTCCAGATGTTCACGTACCCGTCGTGTGAAATTGAACCTTGCCCCTCTCGTCGGGTCTCCTGAAGCCCTATCACATCACAGCCGGTCGCGGAACAAATCTGCATGACCGTCATCACGTTGTGACCGATGGGGTTCCTACCGCTGTAGGCGAGCGTGCGTACGTTGAACGGCCGAAGATAGGTCGCCCTCTCATGCCTTCTTCTTCGCAGCTGCCTTGACGGCCGCTGCGTTCTCGTGTCTCTCTCGGTCCACCTCGCGTTGCGGTGTAGGCCGTGTGTTCACAGCTTCAGCTTCATATTTTTATCGACGTAAATATGACAAGGTGGGAGTTGAGAGGGCGATGAGGATGCCATGTGCTTACTCGCTCAATTCCAGACTGTTTGATCAATTTTACCCATTCGGGTGTCTTGCCTCACTGGCATGCAGGTCGGATGCCAGTGGTCTCGACCGAGAGAACGGGAGAGCCGAGAACCAAGAAGCGCTGTGGGTTGTGGCGTTACGTAGCTGGGCGGCTGAGAAGACGTCGGGCTTGGGCTACTCCTTGTACTTGTCCGGCAACCGCTTGGGCGGAGCCGCCAACGTGAACTTCATGCCATTCTTCCTTCCAACCTTCAGAGCAGCGACGTCGCGGAATAGCAGCGGCGTTAAAGAACCAGGCGCAGAGCAGCACGAACAAGGCGTCGATGATGTTGCCGCACCCGTCCAGGAGGAGGCCGAGACTCGAGAGGCGGTGCCCAGTGAGGTTGTTGCTAGGGTAAACCCGGATGGTTGCGGTGCCGAGTCGAATGCGACCGAGGCTGGGCAGCAGCGCGAAGGTGCCGTGTTGCAGCCAATCTCTGCGTAGAACAGAGCGCTTCGAAAAGTTTGTGTAACACACGCGTAGTCATGCGAGTTTTTGAGGCTGTACAGATTGTTGCGGAATAGTGTGCTGTAGATAAGAAAAGGAGGCCAGGGCTTGTATGGATCTTAGATCGAAGGCAATAGTCTGCTAAAGTGTGTTCCTTTACGGCCGTTGCTGTCCCGAGTAGAGAGGGAGGAATACCTGGTTGTTGCAAAATAAATGGTGGCCGCAGTGTTTTGTTGGTCGATTGTTTTGAAGGGAAATTTCTGATTGGTTGAGAATCCCTGGTCGACCGGTGACGTCATCGATGGCGGTGTCACCATGTTCTAGAAAGTTTCAATTTTTTCAAACTGACCCGTGACGTTGTGCATTGCATTTTTAATTTCACGAGGCCGCTCGGTGCCTGTGGCTTAGTCTCAGGGAGACCACAGGACGAAGGGATGACCCTATCCCAAGCTCCCAAAGCTATGGAGCTCCTCGGAAGCCAACACATCTGAAATGCAACTGAGAGAGCTTGGCGACCAAGATCTGAGAACTGAGTGAAGCAAGTAGTCACGTCGCTTCCTGGCGCTCTGACCGTACTTAAATATGGCCCCTCCGCCCTTCTGAGACCCACCCAGCCAAATGGCAGTATCCGGTGTTGCCTTCATGAACAAGGCCAGATTGGTTAAGGGTGCGCCCCAAACTTTTGCAGTGGATTTACGAGCATTGGCCTCGGGTGCACATGCTTATGCACGAAACATTGCCGGGGAACAACCCGTGAACGGAAGTGTTAAGGTGTGAAAACAGACAAGCGCAAAGCCGAGTTGTACATCGTACGTTGTGTAGCATACCGCAGACGTACATGACTGCGGAGCGACTCCAACTCCGCACGTGGTAAAATGCAATGGCGGCAGAGGATTTGAGTAAGAAAGGAAAACTCGAGATATGGGGCGAACAGCCTTGTATCTTCAAAGCTCTCACTTCTATCTACTTCACACAGCTCAGTCAAGTTTTGGGGGGCGGGAGGCGGGACAAGGTTGTGCATCGTTCCATGCAGTACATTTCACGGTGTGTTTCGAAAGGAAATCGCATCACCACACAAGCTCAAGAATTTCCCGCTATGTACTCGTTCAAACGTAAAATTTAATTGATGCCTTAAGCATGGGGCCAAGGTGCAGCACTGTTGTGCCATCGTCGTCGTCGCCGGAGCCGTTTCTTCTTATTGCCTTCCGGCTCGGTCGCACGCGGTAGTGGTCGAGCCCATTTCGGAGCTCGAAGTTTTCGAGATCCTTGATGAACTCGAAGAACAGCTTTCTTTCCTGTGGCATCCATGAAGCCAAAACGGGACAAAGTTAGGGCGTCATGATCTCTAGGCGGTGAGGTACAGTTTTACCGTCCCCATTGCACGCACCACCCCGCCCTAGCAGCCAACGGATTTCTGAGGTTTAGCTGAATACAAGCAGTCTCTCTACCTCCTCCGGTCGTCTCTAGTATCGCGTGCATGTAGTAGGTCGATAGCCTTATGTTGAGCGGGGAAACGTCCCCAAGAGCAATGTAGAGTTTATGTGGCATGTGATCCGTCCCTCATCGTACCATCGGGGCAGCCACTTCGTGCAGCCATTGCCCCACTGTGCCCTGACGAATCGCCCATCCCGCGGGAGGTGGTGGCGACGACCGCCGATGCAACAAGGCGTCCCCCCGTCCGCTACATGTAGGCTCGCTCGTGGTTTCTCCCCCAATCTCCTCCCCATCACCGGCAGTGGACCCGTTACCTCGACGTCTCCTCTCGCTTCCTCGCGAGCTTCGCCCGCACTGCGAAGTGTCGTGATAACGATGGCGATAATATTGATGTCGATCCACCTGCCCTTTTCTGCCAGACCGTCTCTTCCGTCCCGTCTCCTCCTCCGAATCTAGCAGAGCTCTCATCCTCAAGATGGCCACGCTCTTGCCGTTCCTTCCCGTCAACTTACGTGTGAGCCAGCGCACTTCATCACGCTCGATGACGGCCCTGTCATCAGTATTTTTTTCTGCGGCAAGAGCAGCCTCGAAAGCGGAGATGCTGACAACGCCCTTTCTTTTTCGGTCGGTCCGCAAAAGCCGCCGCTCAATTCTGCTCAGACGCGCCCCGTTGTCAGAAAGGAGTTTGCGTCGGAGGGATTTGACCACCCTGATTCCCCCGGCATGGGTCGAATGTCCGGCGGCGGCGGTGTTTCCAGCGCGCTGGTGCCGAACTTGTTTGCTGCACTTGTCTATATCGGTCTCGATACTGCTACCACTATCGTTGCTGGCCAGCGAAGGCGACGAATAGGGGCTGCGTGTTTGTGTCCCTTCCTTGATGCTTGGTCGTCCTCGTGGCTGACGCCACGCGTTGTTGCCAACAATTCCAGATTCATCGGAAGACCACGACGAACTGCACGAAGAAATAAATATATGCATGTATTCCGAACGGGTACCGTATGTACTTGTGTAGTACACTTTGCATGAATCCACCGGCGCGAATACTCGTCTGGTCTTGCTTCTCATCTACGTGGTCCCCTACTGGACATGGGCCCCTACTCACATGGATCATTGGAGAAGTCTAGTCTACGTGTGCCATTTGACACAGGAGGAATGGGCCGGCAAAGAGTCTTCTGACGAGCAGCTCCAACAATTGTCCTATGCATGGTCTTCATGTGTTTTTTACGTCCATCTACGAGTACCATTCAGAAGCACGCTGTCGAAGCTAACAAATGCAAAGAAGGGGGGTCTCGACAATACGGCGAAAGGCACCCACCCCCGGTGTCACACAGCCCAGAGAACCTGCCATTGACATCATTTCTGATATGGTTCGCTAATGAAGGGCGAGACAGCTCCCTTCTCCTCTCCAGCGAACGTATGGGTTGTAAGGATTCCCCAAGTACAGCAGTGTGGCCGGCCCAATCATCAGAACACCGCCTCCAAACCGTTTGGTCTCATAGGTAGAGCAACATCAGGCTCTAATTGCCACGCGTTGTTATATGTAGAAGTGGCGTAGGCCATTTTTGTGTTCTCATTCAAGAGCTGAGCCTGGGTTTCTTGGGTTTCTTGTTGTGCTTTTGTTTCGAGTTGGTCTCGGCACTAACTGTCTATATTTACAGTACAGCAGTGTGACCATTACTACTCCTGTACGAAGTCTACGGTGCGTCCACGCCGAATCCACCCGCGTGTCCGTACCTCTTCTTCCTTGCGCTGGTGGCACCTCCACGGTCGCGTGGGTTCTTCCGCGACATCCAGCTGTGCACAGGTAAATCCTTAGAGTAAACTGGAGAGAGCCTACATGCTAGCTACTGCAAGCCATTGATTTGATTGCGATGGGTTGTGGCGTTGTGGCGTCGAAGAACGGAATCTTTCGTCGAAGTTAGCGACTAATGAAACGGCGTGTGCATGCCTATCCATTGATCTCGAAAGCCGCACTCCTATCTATCCCTAGTGGCGGGGACCCTAGAGCCCCCAGGTCAGGTGTCCGGGTGCTCTCCTTTCACTCACTCCATCTTTGACTCTGAAACCATGGCTATCACTTCATCGATGCTGTGGTACGTCCGCCCACATCCACAAATCCCACGTGTCAGTGTTCCACCCGGCGTTGACCACATAACTAGTCTTCCTGGTCAAGAGGTGAGCTGCTCTCGAAATGCTGACGGGATTTTAGTCCAAGTGATACAATTTGCCGAGTGCAACTTGCACACTTTGAGAGCGCGGGCGTCCGTGATGCCTATAGCACTGGGTACTGAATCAAAAGCCTTCTCTCGGGGAGGCTCTCTGCTGATATGGGCGATTCCAACGCCTTGTTTGCTGAGACGCACCTTGACTCTCTCGTGCACATGTTTTTCTCACCTCGTATGTTCTGGACAACCCACTTTTCCGTGGCTACGGTTGACCATTCGTTCCACCCTCTGCGCCGGCCTTGTGTTGCGTGCAGCGCATCACTGCGCAGCAGTAGTAGCTGATCGAACCGAGCTAGCCTACTTCGTTTGCGAAGCAGAGTGCTACATCCTTGCAACTATATTCCGCCACTCGCCCGATCGATTGATTTTCAGCGCTTTTATCGACACAAGCCGGCCAGGCGTACGTAGTCTGTGGTGTTATTTGTACTTGTATGTACATCGCGGCGGGGGGGGGGATTGTCTTGTTGCATGCTCACTCTCGCGGAGGTGATTTTCGTGGGAGTGCGATGTGCAGTTTTTGTTTGCACAGGAAAGACGAGCGATGAGGAACACAATCCAGTAAACAGGAAGTGCCGTATGACGGCCAAAATGGCCATCTGTGCTTAGACAAGGATCAAAGCTGAGCTCTCATCCAACCGCACATTCCCAAATACAAGTCACCGCCTTATATATCATGCTGCCGTCCTGCAGTACGTAAAGTGTATCGTAAATATGCCACCCCATGGCCAGATCGGCTGAGGGTGTATCACGTGTTGGTTTCATTGCAAGACTAGAAAATATATCGCTAGGCGTGGTACTTTGTGGTGGGGAGTGCGGTATCCTTCGTGGGCGTCTTATCTTGCGTGGTATGCATGTGCATATTTCACAAGCAGCCGCAATAGTGCTCTTCAAATTTCGTCTCAAGGAGTTGACTGCTGTTGGCATGGACCGCATCCAGAGCTGCAGCACCCACGCCCCTGCCGTCCGCCACCAACAGGTTTCCAAGTTTTGTTGAAGCGGCAGCGTGGTGTTATGTGGTGCTGCCCCGCACATTGTGCGATTTGTCTGTGTAGACTGAAGTTGATCCGTCCTATATCCACTCCTTCCATCTCGTCTTTTAATGATCATCTCTCCTTTGTACCACTGGCTCCCCGCTGTCAATCGGTGCGTATCGAGCATGAACTGCAGGCGGGCCTGATCCGTGGATCCTCCGTGGGGGCGGGGAACTACATAGTCGCGACGACTTTTCTCTATGCTGTTAGAATGTTGTGGCATTACGCAGGCCACGGTTTGAGGCACGAGTCACGTGAGCACTACACGAAAGTTTAAAACACCGCGTGTCTTTTTTTTATATCAGCCTTTATTCGCTTTTCTTTTCGCTTTCTGCCTTGCTCTTCTGATCAGAACCGGTCGATCGTCAGCCCTCAGGACAACGGAAATTTGTCGCGATGAAGTCGGCGAAATCAGTCTCAAAGCAACTTCTCGTAGCAATTCGTGGCTAACGAGCACACCCTGTGATTCAAGACGCACACCCCACTCGTGCCACCGGATCGGAGGGGATAATTTTTTGGGGAAAAATTGCTCCAGAAAGCAAGTGAGGATGGCCGATGCCGAAGTCATGCAGAGTGTTCCCCTTTGCGGTTGCAGGCAGGTTTTTGCATGGAGCACTGCCGTAGATGCTGTTTGTTGTTCCATGATCGCAAAATCAAGGAATCTAAGAACAGCTGTAGCTTTGATCGTGAGTCCGATACCCTGTCAAGTGCGGGCGAACATCGCTTTGGTATTCGGGTCCATGTCTGCAAAAGGCAACGGTTGTGCAACAGCCGGCATCATTGCGAGGACCCGAACATTGTAAAACGGTGCCCTGCGAATTTTCCGCTCCAAGATGACCTCGACCAGCTACAACGGGCCTGTAGCTGGTAATCCCTCGATATTCTGGACGAACGCGTGCGAAAACTATTGTGGCCTCATGTGACCCACGGCGATTATTCCTCTCATGCCACACCCGGGTAATCATGAGCGAGGCCGGCACGTGATAAACCTCGCCGCTCCAGGTGTCTAGTTTTGTGTTTTCGACCATATCGAACTTGGCTTTTCCGTGCCTGGAGCGCATGCCGCCGACCACTTCTTCCGCGCTCTTTTGGGACATGCTCGCACATTTCAGATCCAACAGTGGCGGCAGCTAGCTACCCGGACTTTCAGTGTCAAAGCGCGCGCTCGTAGCGCCACCCGGAACGCGTGCTGCTCGGGCCTGCTCGTTCGTCCAGGATGACGTCCCAAAATCTCTGGCGGCTTTTCTGTCCCCGTACACCTGCGTGTGCCAGGGTCGCTGTGTGTTTGTGTTGGGCGTACGGAAGTTGGCCTCAGTCTCGTCCGTTGTGCACATCTTTAGGCAACATGTTGTGAAACATCATAGCAAAGTTGACAGGCAAACGAACTTTTAGATGAGAAATTGGCTGAAGCAAGATTCCCATGGTGGGGTGCCAATTTTGCGGCTGCTACTTCCAGCTTCCGCTTGGGTGGGGTGTCTTGATACCGCTCTATTCTCGTACGGCTTAAACGAGACCGAAAACAAGCGCCTATGGTTGTGAGCCGCAGCAGGTTTCCAAACAGCCAATATTGGGCGCAAGTAACAGTTCCATTCCAGACTTGAATTTGAGACGGCAGGACCATGTAGAGTATAGCTTGATGGCAGCGTCGATAGAAGGCAGAAAAGAAGTATTGGAGCACCAGCACCCCGTTGCAAGTCGCGTTGCCAGGAGGTTGCCTGCTTTTTGTCGGGGGGTGCCGACCGCAAAGACCTGGCTGTTACCAGGACACAAATTTGTCGTTTGTTTTTCTTTTTCGGACGTTGGCTCGCGCGAATAAGTCGTTCTTCGAGAGCCGGATAAGTGGTGTATCCTTTTTGTGGTGCGCTTGGAAGTTCAGCAGGGAAGCAGAAGCCAACGCAGGTTGTTTGAGCAAACTCGTTGGATACAGCAGTATGATCCCGGTGGAATTTCGAGAGTTGCGCTATTATGAGTATATGTACCTGTCTCTCGTTTCAATAGATGTAATTTTATCTGCCTGCGTAGGCGGTCCCAGGGAGGACTGTCGTAGTGGCAGGCGTTGTGCAGTATCGCGTCGAGACGATACGCGCTTCGCGGAGAATTGTTGTCACTTGTGCGTGACTGCCGAAAAGGAATCATGTCCGGGATAGTGAGTATTTTTCATCGGTTGACGCTTGTGTACGTACCGTCACGGCTGACTAGGGTTCACGCTGTGTGTCCGCCGAATGCATCTGTACGCTCAAGGGTGAGAACATGCATCTTTAACCTAGAGCTTCTAACGTCGAGCCGCGAGAGGTAATTGTGACATTTGCTCCATGAGATGTGTGTTTCTCGGCCCTGAGTGTGCGGTTTTCGAAGCCGATAGTGCGTCGAAACTAGTCAGCTCTGGCTAGTCGTGGTTTGGTTTTAAGCTTTTTAGCGCGTGTGTGCATGTTGTGGACAATTTTGAAGCTTTTGTTCTGTTCGATCGAAAACACGTCCAAGCCAAGGGGTATTGCTGCCCAGGCCGTGAGAACGGAAGCATTGACGCGGGAGAGGCACAACCATGCGCCACTTGGCGCAAGAGAGGCATGCGCGTGTACGTCACGCGTATAGTGGTCGTCGGTTTGCTAGAAATGTACGCTCCAGAACTCGCCGTGCTTCCTGCGCGCGCAACTCGAACAGGCTGCTCAAAGCGACGTAGCTTGAAAACATCTCCCGGTGTGTGTGCGCGCGCGGCAAATCGCCTTTCTGGTTTCGACTTGACCCAGGAACGGCTCCGCACAAGAGGAACCGAACTTGTTGAACGAGATGATCCACACCGGGACGACGATACAGAAATCGAACGTTGGACACATGATCCCACGTACTCACACCCGCGTAGTTATTTTCGCTTGGCCAGACGTCCAATCGAGCCTGACCGCACACAACACCTGGGAACAAATACGAAAAAAAAAAATCTTCCGTGTGGCCGCGGCTCTTTTCTCGCCCGGTGTCTCGGACGATCTCCGTGCAGCCATGACGTATCGGCCGTCTTGTCACCAGAAAAACAAGCACGCTGCGCGCCGGAAAACCAGAGAGCGTGGAACGTACACGAATGAAAGCAACACAGATTTCGCTCTTCTTGAAAAAGCCACGGGTTTGTATGCATTGTTCTCTGGGAAACGAACGATGGTAGTGGTGGTGTCACGGAATGACTGAAACTGAAACCGAGATCATGAAACAGGCTTTCAAGACAGAACGAGCGTCCTGTACGCACGCGTGCGGCAACCTGAACTCTCTTGTCGCGACGCACGATCAAGAAGCCGGTGCGTTTGTACCAAGGCCGTGTTGTTCTTACACGCACAACGCCTCCATGTCCCATCAACCGATCGGAATCATCTTTGCCGGGACGTTTCAGCCCGTCGACAAGCAGCGGTTTTCCGTTGTCGATGCCGTCGGGTGAATCACACATGAAAACGAGGGGACGGGGCGCGTACAAGCGATGCACAGACCCATGAAAATATCCACAAAAACACCTGTACACCATTAGAAAACAAGAATGCAAGTACTCTATCTCTCTCTCCCCCCCCTTCCCCCCCCCTGTCTCTCCCTCTAGACCGCGTGCCCTTCTCAGGCCGCGGGGACGGTTTCTTCTTGCTTTGCCCCGCACTCCGAGCAAAATTTGGCCGACGCGGGTATCTTGGCGCCGCACTCGGTGCAGAACTTCTCGCCTCCACTTCTTCTGCTGCTGCCGATACTTACAGGCGATCCCCTTCCCCCAGCACCACCNATGCAAGTACTCTATCTCTCTCCCCCCCCCCTTCCCCCCCCCTGTCTCTCCCTCTAGACCGCGTGCCCTTCTCAGGCCGCGGGGACGGTTTCTTCTTGCTTTGCCCCGCACTCCGAGCAAAATTTGGCCGACGCGGGTATCTTGGCGCCGCACTCGGTGCAGAACTTCTCGCCTCCACTTCTTCTGCTGCTGCCGATACTTACAGGCGATCCCCTTCCCCCAGCACCACCGCCACCGCGCCCTGCTTCGATCGCAGCCACCGCCGCCGCCGCGGCAGCATCATCCTGCCCGTCCGGGCCAGGCACGGGAATCTTGTTGTTCCACTGGTCGACGAGCCCGACCAGTTCCGCGATGTTGTCGAGCGACGCGTCCATGAAATCGTTCATGAGCTGGGGTGGTTCGAGCGCACGCCCACATTGGTGACATCAAAAAAAAAAAAGCACACCAGCCGGTTCCCGTTTTGTCGGCGGCGGCGGCGAGTGTTGGGTCCGGAGCAGAGCGGAAGGAAACGGTGTCGTCGACGTGGGGTCAGTCATTGGGTGTTTCGCGGGCATGCGTACATCTACTCGATGCGTGTTTGAGTACTCTTGGACGCATCCACCGTGAGGATGGGGTTGGGTCCCCGCGCAGGGGTGCTGACGTTTTTCGAAAGCTTTGTTGCTCGACAACTTGTAGGAGGGTGCGAAAGGCTAACGACACGTCCAAGGAAAGATCCCGACGAGGAAATTCCAAAAACAACCTTTCCGCAGCGATACTCTCCAACTTGTCGAGCAATGAAGCTTTGGATAAACGTCAACACCCCCGCGGACAGACCAGCATCCTTCTGGGTGCACATTAATCGATTTGGCGAGTTCTGCTTCATTTCCTGTCTCTTTTTTTCAGAATCTTCGGGCCTCCGCGAAAATAGCGTCTACTGTCAGTTTCACGGCCTTCCCTCAGTTGGTAAATAGGGCCGGCCGCTATGCTGACGGCAGACACCATCTTCGCAGAAAACCGAAGACGAAAAACGACATGACGAGTCAAGCAGAACTCGCCGAATCGACGCATGTATATATTCGAGTGCTTCGCACCGACCGAGTAGATGCACGTCACACACACACGAGGCCGAGGCGGCTAGGCCCTGGTACACTAACAATACGTCAACGCACAAGGGAGCAGTGCGATTCTGCCCCTTTCAGTAGTATAGATAAGGTTCACGTTCACCCGGAGAGCGATACTTCGCACGCCTGCGCACAGAAAAAAAGAGGGAGAGGGGGTTGGCGACCTCGACAGAATCAACACTTTCAGTAGCTCCCAAAGGGCAGTGCACCTCCATCGGACGATGCAGTTGATGGTAGGCTAGGTGGTACGCATACAGAACAGGCCCCCGCAGCGAAGACATACTGGTACTCTAAAATACAGAGGCTCGTTTTTTGCACGAAGAACAAGAAAAGAGACACCGCCAGCTCAACAGCAGTGGATCCAAGGGAAGTCTATGCTCGAGGGTGGCGGCGAAATCAAGTATGCTGAAAATTGACGTTCTAGAATGTCGGTCCTTTTCTGATCGTGTGTGACGAGCAGCCGGCTCGGATGATCGAAATGCCTCGGCATTGGACAGACCTCGAAACCCCGTTCCGCCCCCCTTCCAACGGAGAGCTACATAACGCCAAACGCCGCTCGGCAGCAGTAGGAGGAGTCGGGGGGGCATACAGTCTCTCGGCACATCCATCAGCCTAGCGTCGGTCGCGCAAGAAACCACACCCCTCGGCCCGAAGTTCAAAGCTTGGTTTGCTACACGACAAATAGGATGCACAAAATCAAGCGATGTAACTTTCCGGGAATCTCTCGACGAGACGGTTCCAACGACGAGACGGGTCCAACGCCGCCATTTTCCGGCACCGTCGCTGTTTTTGCTGCGGAGTCATCGAGCTTTGAAAATCGATGCAGGGGAGGTGATGTCTAACGTCATGCCGCCTACGGTACGCACATGCGCCGCGCAATATTGAACACATGACACCTAGCGGAGGAACAACCAAGGAGAGCCAGCCATACTACTGCCATCTCACCATATCTATCACGTACGACGAGCTCCCCATGCTCATCATCTTCCCGGGCCCCTGCGCGACCTCCGGGTGCCCCATCGCAATCGCCGACATCTCCCGAGCGTACAGCTTTCTGTTCTTCAGCTCCTCCCTCGCCTTCTTCTCCTCCTCCTCCTCCTCTTCCCTCCTTCTTTGTTCCCTATTTCTCTCGCCCTCCTCTTCGCGAGGAGGAGAAGCGGCGTCCCCGGCACGAGAAGCTGAGGAAGACTTGACGGTTTTCCCGTCGCCGCTGTTCGCCGCCGCGGTCCCCGCGGCCATCTCGAAGTCGCTGTCCAGCAGAATCCCGAGCTTCTCGGCCCTCCTCCTTGCCTTCTCTTGCTCTAGCCGCCGCCGCTGGGCCTTGCCTTCAGGGCTTTCATCGGGCTAGGTGTGGGATTAATCGTGTAGGGGCAGGGAAGAGCACGTGTTTGTGGAACATTCGTGAGGCTCGCGTACATGCTACACAGGGTTAGGGTCGGGGGGGTTGTATAAGGCAGGGGATGGGTGTACTCATAGTCGTGCATGCCGTAGTCGTTAGACCATTGACCTCGCATCCCTACAAAGCCGGGACGGAGCACGCCGGGTTCTCACCGGACCAGGCTCTCACATCACCAAGCGCGAAGCGCCGTGAGATATTCGGCGAGTCGCATGAAGGGTGCGCTGCATCCTGCTAAGGGTTTTCGGCATCTTGTGCTTACTTCCTTGCGTACGGATGACAGCTGCGTATGAATTATTTTTTTTTCTGGTGCTTCCACTTCCAGAGACACTTGTAAGCACTGTGTAACTGCCTCGAGGGTGCTTGACCATTTTAACACAACGTGGTGCGATCATCCCCCATGCGCGGAGTGAGGGTTCTCGACCCCGCACAACATGATCTACTCGACCACCATTATGGTTACCGCCAAAAAAGAAACGGAGGTAAAAAAAGAAAAAGGTAACCTGGTAACCTGGTTGCCGAGTTCACGAAGTGAATTGGCTTGTTT